GGATACCCCAAAAGCTTTCTTTTTCAATTCTCCGTCATTCTGCATAAAAATATGGATACGAAATATTTTTTGAATTTTTTCCCAAATTTTTGCCATGAACCCCCTTGGAAATCCACGAAAACCCCTAGTTGGCCCGAAAGGTGCCTGTATCTCAGCCGATTCTTATCCGATCCTTGAGAGGGATACCTCAAAAGCTTTCTTTTTCAATTCTCCGTCATTCTGCATCAAAATATGGATACCCAATATTTTTTAAATTTTTTCCAAATTTTTGCCATGGACCCCCTTGGAAATCCACGAAAACCCATACGTGGCCCGAAAGGTGCCTGTATCTCAGCCAATTCTTATCCGATCCTTCAGAGGGATACCCCAAAAGCTTTCTTTTTCAATTCTCCGTCATTCTGCATCAAAATATGGATACCCAATATTTTTTAAATTTTTTCCCAAATTTTTGCCATGGATTCCCTTGGAAATCCACGAATCTCCATAGGTGGTCCGAAAGGTGCCTGTATCTCAGCCAATTCTTATCCGATCCCTGAGAGGGATACCTCAATAGCATTCTTTTTCAATTCTCCGTCATTCTGCATCAAAATATGGATACCCAATATTTTTTAAATTTTTTCCAAATTTTTGCCATGGACCCCCTTGGAAATCCACGAAAACCCCTAGTTGGCCCGAAAGGTGCCTGTATCTCAGCCGATTCTTATCCGATCCCTGAGAGGGATACCTCAATAGCTTTCTTTTTCAATTCTCCGTCATTCTGCATCAAAATATGGATACCCAATATTTTTTAAATTTTTTCCCAAATTTTTGCCATGGACCCCCTTGGAAATCCACGAATAGATTGCCCGGAAGGTGCCTGCATCTCAGCCAATTCTTATCCGATCCTTGAGAGGGATACCTCAAAAGCTTTCTCATTCAATTCCCCATCGTTCTGCACCCAAATATGGATCACCAAAACTTCTTAATATTTTTTTCCAATTTTTTCTGATGGACACTCTCGAAAAAGGGTAAAAGAGAACTCAAGGGCGAATCAAATCAATAAGATGGTCCGAAGATGAGATGGATGCCCCCTTGGCCCCTTGGGCCCCCTGGCCTAGACCCTCTTAACCCCTTGACACCCAAACAAAATCGACGGAGAGAGAAAGAGAAATGTCAAGAACTCATGTTCAAATGTCAAACTGAACCGACAAACCGTTAATTAGCAAATCAAAGATATGCCACGCCACAGACACACAGTCAGCGAAAGCAGGTGGGGGTCTAGGTTGGGGGTTGGGGAGGTTGGGGAGGTTGGGGATGCGAGGATCCACAGCCACACCACTGACAGCTCACAAAATCCGACAGTTGCGCACATTCGAAAAAAGATCAATGAAATTGTGAAAGAAGCTGAAGAAATCCAGCAGACGGCGAGCAATTAAAAGGCGAGGGGAGCGGGGCAGTTCAGGTGAGGTGCAGGACACTGAGAAAAATCAGGATTATTTAATTAAGTTATGATTAAGTTTTATTTTCAGATGGTTAAGGTTTAAACTGGTAGATTGTTTTCCCAATAAGAGTTAAAAATAGAAAGAATCTCTATCTTTTCTTTCAGTGCAAGGCCAATGGAGCGGCGAGGGAGGCAACCGAAACGTTTAAAGCGCCCAAAGGCCGTCAAGCTGTCAGGGATACGTATATTCGCAGATCGCCACGGTTCGGCTTTGGTTTAGGTTCAGAATGGTTCGGTTTGGGTTTGGGTTTGGGTTTGGGCCTGGACCTGGAACTTACATACTGTCGTTGTCAATCATAAGTCGGGTCCAGTCGGTGGAAACTGGAATCCTTCCATACCATGCCCCTCCGACTGACCACCGGGCTTTCGACCAAAAACCTGATTCAGTCTTCCAGGGGGGAGTGGAATGGAGGGGTAGAAAAGCGATCTAAGCTCTTCTAACAGTCGCAATCGCAATCGCAGTTGTAGTCGCATCTGTCGGATTTGCATTACCACGTCCGACTTGCCTTGAAATTATGTGAAATTGATCAATTTCAACGTGGCTGTGGCAAGTCTTCGTCTCTGGACTCTGACTCTGACTCTTCCTTGAGGAGAGCTTTGGATGCTTCGGCTGGAGAAGAACATTTAATGTAAAATGTCAATCAAAAATCGCACAGAATGGAAAAAACAACTTTGAAAATTTAATTAGAAATGTGTACACGTTTGTGGCACATTGAAGTCGCCTGGGAAAATGGCAAATGGAAAATCTCCGGCGACTGCTCAATTGAAGCGATGAGAACCTCTCTCTGGAAAGTGTAAGGAGCTCTACTAATTATAGAAAAATGTCCAGATATGTAAAGATTCCCAGAAGGAGCGAGAGACCATGCATTAGTTCTCATCTTAAATCGGAGTTAGGGTTTCATGGAAATTCGAGGTTGGCTTTTCCCCCCCATCCTAGTCAGCTTTCCACACAACACACGGATAATATGAAGACATAACTCAGAGTTTAATGGCTATAAATTCAAAATTTTCGCTGGAAATTCTTGTAAGACCAAAAAAAAATACAAAGACGAGCAGGCGACTAAATAATAACAATAATGGTTGTAAAAATAATCGTAAACCAACCCGTCTGGCAAATGGTGAGAAAAGACGAGTTTGTTGGCAATCAAACCCGATGGACTTGGACTTGGAGTTGGCTTTTTTTCTTAATTTTTTTATAGCACTTCCCAATTAGAAATCCAGTCGGCCGACTTCAAAAAAAAAAAAAACCTAAAAAACTTGTGTATTAATTTGTCAACCTCTGAATGGGCCACTGAAGCAGCCAAGACTGGAGTTATCAATGGGCGGTGGTTTCATGCTAATTTAGTTATAAAAAAAAACATTTTTTTTTCAAGAGCCAGAGAGTACCAGAGTGCCGAGGTTGAGTACCCGACTGCGGTCATATATCATATTTTTCTTGTTTGTGTTTCGAGATTGTTTAGTTTAATGCCTGATTTCTTTGAATTTCATAATTACACGGCTTTGACCGCTCCACCGGTAACTGTTTTTATTTTTTTTTTTTTTTTGTCAGCTTTTCTTGAATGAACTTCGACTTAGAGGTAGAGTTGGTAACTGCTTACTTGCTAACTGGTTTCTGTTAGCCATTCCGTACTCTCTGCCTTAATTAATTATTGTTGTATAATTTGTAGCTGTAGCAGCAGAAGTTTCATGAATGGTTCGCATTTTCACACATTTCCGGTACAGTTGCTACAGAAAAACAGGAAAAATAATAATATTAAGTAGAAGCCCCCCCTCCCCAATTGGACCGCCCCATGTTGGCCAAAAAAGGGCGTTGTGGGCAATGTCAATCAATTGGTTCGTGGACTGGGTTGGCTGCTCGATCTCGGCTATGTATCTGTATCTGTATCTGTGTCTGGAGCTGGTCTCGAGCTAAAATGGCAGCTGACTGACAGACAGATCGAAATGCCAGTCAGTTGGAGTTGGAGCCTGGGCTCTGGCCTGGCCAACAACACAGAGAGAAGCAGGCAAAAAAAAAAAGCTACCAACGGCAGCAGTGATCTGAAATTGTGCCGAGGACTGGTCCCCGATAATAGGGATGATATCGTGTCACGAGGAATATAGGTCTCTTATGCTATAGTACTGGATTCACTGGTCCATAAGGTCCATCACTAAACCACCGATCCAGCAACTGGTAGTGGAAGTGGACCCTGGAGGTGGGGCTGCCACGATTCGTAGCCAGCCAAATCGATCGAACTGCCGTCATTAAACAGAAAACGGAGCAAGTAAGGCAACAAAGGCCATGGAGGACTCCACCTCCTCCACCACCTCCTGCTCCTCCTTACTCCTCCTTAGTCTATCTATCTCTCTCTGGCTAATAACTCTTTTCCTGCCGCCGATTTGGCAACAACAGCAGCCCTGATCTGCAGCTCCACCGTTCCTTCGATCGCCTTCCATTAATTTCCATGTTGGCCACAATTTGACTTCTGTTCAGAGCTCCCTCTACCTCTCCCTGTCCCTGTCCTTGTCCCGGTACTCGTGCCATCCCTTTCTGCCACCGAGATTCTGCAAATTGGAGAACCGTGATTGCCAAGGCACGCAATTTGCGCTTGAATGGAAAATGAAAACAAAATCTGCAACAAATTGGAAGCCAATAATCAAATGTCAGTCAGGCTCCGCCCCCCCGCAATCTACAGGGCACCCTGCCACTCATTCAACCCGTCAGTCAGTCAGTCATTCAGTCAGTTAGTCATTCAGTCAGTTAGTCAAGCGGACTGACCGCCACTCTTCAGGGCTCATTATTCAAACTCGACTCGCACGGCGAGAAAAAAGGAGGAACTATATCTTCAAAGACTTGTAGGGATGTAGGGTCCTAACCCTTCTTTTCTCTCTGTGTAGTGCCCTGTATCCCCAGTGCCTCAAGCTGCGAGCTTGTCCGATTCGGCTGTCTATTCTTTGGAGCGTTTCTCGAATTCGATTTTGATTTGATTTCAGAAACCGAGTCGGTTAAGCTTCACGCTTTGCCAGCCGGGTGTTTTAATTAGTTCGTTCGGTTCGGCCCTGGGGATCAGCTACGAATTCCAATTCGGCCAAAACCGATATTGTTTATTGGTAATCCACATTACCCACAGATCCAGTCTACATGCCACCGCCACCACCGCTTGTACAATTGGCAATAAAAAATTTCAAACACATTTTGACACAATTTTAATAGTCAATAAACCCCGATGGTACTGGATTGTTGACAAATCGATAAACAGCTCAATTAACATGTTGATGCTCCTCCAATCCACTGGAATCCACTCCCCTCTCATAAATCAAACCATTAAAAAATCCATCAGGAATTCGGTTCAATATCCATTTTTGTATGCGCCACCCGATCCGGTGCACAATTATGCAAAGTGAGCTGTCATGCGAGCTTTTCGATTAGAAAAGAAAAATCCCATTCGGCTGGCACTTTGGAGAGGGGGTGGGGGGGTGGTGGATCATTTTTTATAATTAAAAAAAAAAAAACAGAAAGAAATAAAATCTAAGGACGCGTCTTGGACGATATGATTCACGGCTCAACAAAACAGGTCCACTACTAAAAGCTAAAGGAGAGCTGAACTTTGCGGGGCTCCTCGGGTGGACTTGGTGGACTGTGGTATTGGGGGATGAAGGCCTCCTTGTCCGGAGATCCAACGCGGTGAATGTCCCGGCCGAGTCGCAACTTTAGTGGAGACTTGCAGCGCAACTGCCGATTGCCATCACCCGGAGGCGAGGGTGAGGGCGAGGGCGAGGGCGAAGGCGAGTTCGACTTCGAGTTGGAATTCGAGGGCGTTATCTGCTCCGGATTGCGCATGGTACGCAAGTAATCCTCCAGGGTTAGGGTTTGCAGGCCCTGCAGGGAGCTCACCGAGGTGTCGTTGATGTTGAGGCTGGAGAGGAAATCCCCAACGGAGGCATAGTGAACGGCCTTTCGACGGCACCGGCTATGGTCCAGCTCCTGATCGCTGCTGGTACTCCGGCATTCCACTTGATCTTCGTCCATTTTTGGGCTATGAATTTGATATACTCTTCAATTTGGTGATCTTGGGATTTGGGTAACAGTTTGGGGATTCTTACTTTGAATGAATTTATTCCACAAGCCAACTATCTGGATGCCTCAGAACTAGTGTAATCCATCACCTGGACCCATCAGCCCCCATGAAGATATTTCAATAATTCAATCACGTGGCATCGTATCGAATAATTGAATATGTCATCGTGTTGAGCGACACAAATTTCATTTCAATACGCAGAACATTTAACAAATAAATAAACTCCCCACCGAGAGACCGAGGTATGGGACTGGGACTGGGGGCCTCAAAGACGATCACCGATGATTGAACGATGATTCGATCAAGGGACGACCCAGGAGGGGGGAGAGGGGCATGGAGAGGTGGAAACCCCTGAGACGGAACCGCCAAATGGCAACGTGAGTGATTGTCGCAAAAGCTCAAAGGCGACAACAGCTCTTCGAATTGTACTGATTTTTATTTATTTTTATGTTTGAACCGAAACGTTCACGGAATCCCAAATGAAATGCGACCGAAATGCTTTTTTTTTTTCGGGGAGTGAGTAGGGAGTGGAGGGACCTGCGGGGTACCCAATATCGGTTAGGGCCGCCAATTGGTGTGGGAAAAACGCTCCCGGGCCGCTAAAAAACGACAGGCGCGGCGATCTGACATTAGCATGTTCACCTCGTGACGATTTCAATCGAATTTTAATTGCCCCCGAATGTGGATCTGGGTTGGATCTGGGTTGGAGCTGTTGGTGGGAAGCATCCCACAGGAGCATCCAGATCTCCAACTCTCTCCAGACAACTTCATTCACGTAAACTGGGTCGATAACTGACCTACACAGGCATGCCCCACCATCCGATGTTCGATGTTCAATAGATTTTTGACATATTTTTGTGATCGACTCCGTGGGCGCATTGAACCCAATCCGGCCCATCTTTGACCATTATTCACACGCTCCGTGGGAGAAAAATGCTGGAGATCGAAGGATGGACAGGACCCGGGATCTGATGCCGAAAAAGAGCTAAACAAATCAATACGAAAACGATGCAAATGGCAAAAGGCATGTCAACAATGCCAGCGAGTAATTGGCAGTGGTCGGCTGATGACGCTCGCATTGAAGTTGATGATTGCGTCTGCGGGTCTCCTCCTGCACACCCTCCACTGACTCCTTTCACAGTGATTGCGATCGCTGGAACTTCGAGCTCCGAGTACCAGCTTTTAGCTACCAGCTCCTCGAGCTAAACATCTGGAGCAGGCAGTCGAACTGAGGAGCTCCACCCATCTTCAGCCTGCCGGTGCTGATCACTGATCTTTGCCGACTACATTGGGAGAAAAGTTTCAAGTCTTTAATCTTATGATGAGGTGATCCTTAAGATAACTTGAAGCCCTTTTTCTTTCAGTGCAACGGAGGCTTTGATCTGTCACCGCTCGCCAATCGAATCACGGCAGACGCGAGCGGCAGCAGATAAAATTATTGAAATTACATTGGCAAACGCCGTCGATCAGAGGGACAGGAATATAGTACACATCGTTGGTATATACTCCACCAGCTGCTCCTCCTGTTGCTGGAGAACACGATCACCGACACTTACAGGCACAATAATTATCGCTTTTAGTCCCAGTCCGGCCTGTCAATGCGATTCGAAAAATGTCGTCAGTGTCGCCCAGTGCCGGGCAAGTATAGCTCATCATATAGGAGCAGGGAGCAGGAGCATCTTGGGCCGATCTTGGCCAGCAGTGCACCCAGCGCATCAGACCCAGCGGTTGGATGGTCATGATCGGCACCGTGATTTCTCATTCGATCGGGAGTTTCGTGCTGCAGTGCCCGTTTTTAAAATGTAATCATCATTAAAATATTTATGGGTTATCTCTGGCTGGCTCTGGAGCTGGTCTCCGACTGGTCGGCTTGTAATGACCATACATAGCAATTGGTTCTCACGTTCGGGCCGGTGGCAGGAGGCCGGGGGCAGGAGGGGAGAGACAGAGACGCATTGCCAATTTGGCTTCATCATTCGAGGCTGCAGTCTGGTGCCGATGCTAAAGTTGTCATTGTCATTGTCATCGTCACTTGGCTGGGATTCAATTCGAGATCGAGATTCGGAGTGGCATCTTTCGGTTTTCAGCAAGAATGTGTCGATCCAAGTCGATCCTAACTGCCCATCAATGGAATTTCAGTTTCCCCCAGATGAGTTTTAAGCCTCTCCAGTGAGAGAATTCAAATAAGAAACCTTTTCGTTGATAGATCTCCCCATAGACATGGCGTGATGATCACCACTGCTCCTGTCTCGGGCTCACCCCTCTGGAGCAACAAAAAAAAAAAGGGAACTCTAAATTGGCCGTCTTGACTCGTCACTTTTTTTGCTGACGAGGAGGAGATCGGAGGAGGAGGTGGAGTAGCGCTCCGGCCGATGTTGTCGTTTATCAATTATGACAAATCTTTGCGCATGCGTGGCCAGCGGCGTCGTCAACGTAGCTATTTATAACCCGGTAGAGACCCTGCTTCTCTCTTCAACACATGTGGATGTACCATTCCGTGTTTCATTTTAATTTGTAATTATTTCCCCAGCGTTTTTGTTGTGGCTCTCGTATGATTTCAAACGACTTTCCGTGGCTTTCCTTTGCATGTCAGGCTGGCTGGCTGGTGGCTTTTTCGAACTTCATTTGCGCTTCGGTTCGGTGACAAATAAATTAAGGGGCGAACCTCATCCAGAGAACCTCAGAGAAGCCACCGAAAGAGGGTTCCCTTTTGGCTTTATCTATTCTTTAATTAATTATTTTGCTATACAAGCTAGATTTGAGCCATGATTGGAGGTTTAGAGTTCAGAGTCCACTGTACAGCACTTGGCACTCGTCTAGTTCACAGCCCACAGAAGCCAAATCCTTAGCTACTGTTCCTCGACCAAGTCCTGGACGCAGGACCACTCTCGTTATTAATTTGGCATGTGACAAATTGTTCTTCGCACTGGCCAGGAATAAGAGTAGCGGGGTAACCTAAGGGACGGCTGATTTAACAAAATTTCACCGCCAAGACACGTACAAAACGGCTTCGATCTGTGGAGAGACTTTCTGGCCAAGTCAGAGGGCCAGGGCCAGGGCATGGGCATGGGCATGGGATGGGATGGGATTCGGAGGAGCGTCAACAGACGACAAGTGGCACTTTGGCGCATTAAGAAAATCTGTACAAGTGTCACTTTGGCACACACAGCCTCCAAGACGCTCCTCCAAAGGAACAGAAGCAGCCTGTCAGCTGGCGGGGATCGGACGGAGGACTGGGAGGCTTGAAGGTGGTTAGGTGGGTAGGTAGGTAGAATTATAACGCCAACGTTCCACCAACAGGCAACAACGGGCCGAATGCAATTCCTCGACGCAGCAAGGATTATGCAGGGCTTGTTTAATCACTTTTCAGGATGGAGCGGAGCAGAGCGGGGCTGGAGCGGAGTATGAAGCTGGAGGATGGAATTCAAAATACAGATTGCTGGCCCCCGGGAGCCCTCGCCCGGAGGCCTCCTCGAATTTGTCCAGTCATCGGCATTATTTAATGAGTTGCCAACAGGTTGTCCAGGCGGAAAATCATCAGGCCTTGCGACTCCAATGTCAGATTCGGACTCGGAGGATACCGGAGGCGCAGATGCTGTTCAGGTTCAGGCTGAGGTTCGGGTTTGGGTTTGGGTTCGAGTGTGCGGATCTGGGGATCCGCAGATCTGGAAATGTGCCGAGTCAGCGCCGCAAACAGAAGCCAACAGCCAGTCCGTCAGTCAGTCAAGCGGCCTACGCCCGGACTCCTGCAAAGCTCCCTCGCTACCTTCCTTCCTATCCCCAGGTCCAGAGCCAACACCAGACCCATCTCGACATTTAGAGAAATTTTGCGCTGGAAGACCCTCTTCCTGGACCTAGCTTCTGGGGCTGGTTTCTCTCAGTGCATCGGGCGAATGCAACTTGTTGGTGGCTCTGCACTTGACTCGCCCTCTGCCGCCTTGCAGCCGCGTCGCTGGTCGGACTGTCAATCTGACAGACAAACTGTCGACCGTTTGAAGCGAACGCAGCTACTGTCTACAGCCACCGATTATGATTTGTTGGAGCTACCCTGGATAACCAGGGCATATAGGTTTCGGAGGCGTCTAGGTATCTACATATTATAGATATGGTTCGAGATCGAGATAGTCTCGAGGACCTAGAAGGACTGGCAGGCGAAAAGGATGAAGAGTTCGAACGAATCCGATGGTTGCTTCTTGAGATCGAGAAGCCCTCAAAGTGGCACTCCACTTGGATTCAGGGATTACACTTGTACTCTCGCACACACACACACACACATATGTATATACCATATTTAGGAAGATCTTTAGGTCTGGCGTTGGCATCCACAGCATTCAGCGAAGAATGTTTGGGATTTGTATCTTTCGGCCGCCGCCGCGCGAGCCTCGCATTCAAGCTCTCACCCCAACAACGATCGACGATCGGTGATCGCAGATACCAGATACAAGATACACACAAACAACAAACACACAGAACCACATGCTCCCCGATTCCCAGATCCAGAGATCCCCAGATCCCCAGATCCCGGATCCCCATATGGCCCCTTTCGGTTAATACTCATAATTGATTAAAAAGAAAATTTCCATGGCATTTATGCGTACCACGCCACTCATCCCACAACGTCGACTTGTTGACAGCCTCCGCTGGTGCTGTCCATGAAGTGGGCTACACTGTGAGGAAACCTTAAAGGGAATGAGCCTCTAGAATGGTTAGAACTCTCTGTCGTTTCCCGCAGTGTACTGTTTGGGGTTCTCTACCGCCTTTATGATACGTTTTCTGTTCTCTGGAAGTAGTTGTCGAAATGTTTTTATTTGCTATCGATTAATCGCTTGAATCCACAGTCACAGTCACAGTCACAGGCCCGAGGCCGAGTCCGGTGGCAGTTACCCGCTTGTTTCGCGACTTGGAAATGCTGCTGTGTAATTGTTTTGAAGTCCCTGCCTCGGAACGGATTGGTAGCAGACAGTTCGGACCGGCTACAGCCATGGCCCTGGGAGCTGTCATAGCGCCTGATTGATCGATTGTTTGCACACGTTTTTGTGAGCGCATTTATTGAGTATTTTATTAATTTTAACTGATCGATGAGCTGCTGCCTGTGTTGCTGCTACAATTGTTCTTCATCGTATGGTGTTTTGCTCTTTTAACCGACTTAGATCAAGCTCTCCAGGCTAAGCCAGGACCTTAGCATAACGTCGCTCTTTGGTAGCTCCAGTAGAATGTCGGACTGGGTACGCAACAGGCGCGGGGAGGAGCGCAAGGTAGCATCCGAGTTGGGCTCCAAGTCCGGCTCGCACTCGACATAGTCTGCCGAGGCTGCCGATACCGGCTCTAGGTCTAGGTCATGGTCAAAGTAGAGGTCCGGCTCCTCCTCATCTTCGAGCCACTGCTGCGGCTCCTCGCCGGTCTCCTCGTCAAGGATGATCCTGGCCCGCGGCCGCAGGGGTCGGTATGTTCTGGGCGGCTTCTTGACCTTGCGGCGGCATCCAATGGCCAGCTTGTTGGGACGCAACTGCGGCCGATGCCGCCACGGTAGTCGCCTGAGACGCTGGTAGTCCACCAGGGGCTTCTGCAGCTCCACGAAGAACCGGGCGCAGTGCCGCCCATCCATCCAGGATTGGTTCGCGCCCGGCAAGTTGCCCTCGGGCGGGTAGCGGCAGGGCCGCGGGTGCGCCGACAACGACTTGACCAAGGTGGAGGACACGTAGTAGCGTTGGTCATAGCCCACGGCACCCTCGCACTCTGGCGGCTCCATCAGCTCCTTCACCCGGGCGCAGATCAAGGGCAGGGCCTCCGTGAAGAGGCGGCGGTTCGGGGTGTACCGCAAAGGATTGAATAACTGGTTGGTGGCGCCCTTGGCCACCAAGAGGGGCGGCGGCCGGAAAATTTCCGGATACGGCTCCGACTTCAACTTCAGCATCAGGTCGATGGCGCTCTGACGAAAGTCCCAGCTGGTCTTACCGTCCGGCAGCCGCCACTCCCCGTAGGCACTCAAGTCCTGAAACTTTGACCGACGGTAGGCTCCGATCTCGGAGTCCGAATCCGTATCGGGGGATCGCAGCCAGTCGTAGGTCCAGCGCTGCATCGACTGCGACATCTCCTCGGCGGTCAGCAGGTCGTAGTCCTCCTGCTCCTCGACACGCCCTATGGGGCGCCGTGGGCGTATCTTCTTTCTATGCGGAGCGCGTCCCATTTTTTGAATATTTTTTGGGTGAAATTGGTGAAAATTATTATGAAAATAGCTCGATACTTGGCAGTGTTTTCCGTTGTGAGGAATGTGTTGGAGTGAGGTTGTCTGGTGGGGAAAGTTCTACCGACTTGACATGAAGGAAATGTCAAAGGTTACTAATTTCAGGAAAGTTTAGAAAAAATTATCGATAGATCGAAGCATCGATATTTCTGCAGCAGCTTTCATGAGAATTACTGGAGGTGGTACTGTACTATAGATAGGGAATACTACCTCCTGTTCCTGCCACCGATCGACACACATATATCACGCACATCCCTCCCACCCTTCTGGAGCGTTTCGTATAATTTTTATATGCAGTCATCAACAGCTCATATATATTTTTATTGCCAGCCGTTCAGATATGCATCTGAAGCACCAGAGACAACAACACAGGGAACAAACAAGTAAGATCGGGGCGGCAGATGAAGATGAAGATGCGCTTGAATTCGAATCCGAAAGATGATCATAATGACGATAATAATGATGAGAATGAGGACCGTGGACCATGGACTGAGGAACTGAGGCAACAGAGAACTGAGGATGCGGTGATGACTATTTCTGCGTACAGATTTCCAATAAAATTTTTTGTCTGAACTCTGAACACCGAGTCTCAGTATTTCATTTGGTGTGTGAGCGAGATTTACACGCTGATACAAGAAATAAACAAAAGCAACGATAAACCCAACGAGTCGGACGCGACTTTGGATCGGAGATACATACGTTATACCTCGCTTAGTCACTCTCTCTCTCTGGCACGGGCGACGACTGACTCTAAAGATTTATTTCTTTATTTTTTTGGCATCAGCCAGTAGCCCCCCAACCCATCCTGTTGGCCGTCTTTCTGTTCTTTTTTTTTTTTATTACCAGGAAATTTTTGTATTTAATACGTTTTTTCCGCGTTCGGGTGCGACACACACGGTTTTTGGGGGGTTAAGCTCTTAACCCACTAACCAAGAGGTTCTTGCTTAGTCCGAGCTATGGATATCTGGACACGAAATCTGGTCCATATGCCCAACTCGACACTAGCTCGGTAGCCGATTTTCAATGGAAGCCACACACAATCAATCGGTTCGCAGAAGTGACCAGCTTCCAGGGTCATGTAAACGGGGTTTCCAATTTCCAGCTTCCTATCCCGATCCTATCTGCAGCTATATGTCGCGGCCCCTAATCGATTTCTTGGTAGCATCTCCAAGAGGTGTACCCTGGAATCTAATCCCTGGTCGCATTGCCAAAGCCAACTGGACCTTGGCGCTTAGCTCAACTCCTAGTCTCGAATGCTCTCGGGGATTGCATTTAATTGCTATAATTTTTCAATTGCAACAATAGAGACAAGGTACAATGCAAACAATGGGACCGGGCACCGGGCGACTGACAAATGCGAATCGGAATACGAACGCATCCGAATTGGAATCCAAAACCGAAAACCAAAGGCAAACCCCCGGGTAATGGGTCTTCAGACGCAGGTGGGTCGGGAGAGTCGGTTGAGAGTCGGTTGAGATTTCCTGAAATCAAATCTAGCAAATCAGACCAAAACCAAACACCGAAAACCAAACTATACCGAACCGAACCAAAACTGATGTGTCTGTCTCAGCCAGAAACTAAAATTTTAAACGCTCTCCAGGGGGAGGTAAGTGGCGGTTACCAGAGGCAGGAGGGGGGGCAGGGGTGGGGGCAGGGTACTGGGGCGGACCAACAGGCGGCGGAGCGTGCCATCAATACGGCAAACGACGACAAACGCAAACTTAGAAACGTCTGAGTGATTCGACGACGATGGCATTGAACAGAAGGTAGCTGAGCCATCTATGCTCTGTACCACGCCCCACTGCCGCACCGCCCCACCACCTACCACCGCCTACCACCACCTCCGCCCACTTGGCGCCCACTTATCGCCCCCGCTAGCCCGCCCGCGTTAACGTCATGCTTTGCGATACAGATACACATGAGTATCTGATGGATACTGGGCGAAAATTAGTTTGGCTTTTGCCTTTTGGGAAGTTGTTAACTAACTTGACGATTTCTCTCAGTGTTCGGCCTTGCTCTGCTTTGCGACTCAGCTCTTCTGCTTTTGGCCAGGTCTCTGTCTCCGTCTCCGTTGGGCTGGCTGGCTGGGTGTACAATTACCTTAACGCATCGACAATTATACGAATGGTTGGACGGCGCTTCGGCTTCGGCTTCCACCTTCCACCTCCACCTCCACCTGGGTGGGGGCCCCAGGGTGGAGCTGTTTTTTGGACCAGCCCATCCATCGCCATCAGGGCATCAGCCAGCCCATCAGGTGCGATATGCGATACGCAAGCGACGCGTCGACGGTTGAGACAATTGCGCCACAAAACGGTTGCGACTGGATGCCCCAGAAGATTGCCTTCTGCCTCGGAATGGGTCTGGCCCAAGGTGAAGGAGGAGGTGTAGGTCGAAGAACCTCTACCCCCCGAACAGAAGTACGCCCTAAAAAACAACAGACTTACAGGAACTATACAAAAAGGGCAAATCGAAGACGTGTCTTCTAAGCTAGAAGCTTTTCTACCCAAACCCATGTCTTGAAATTAACCCTCTTTTGTTTAATTATTGATATTGTTGTTGTTCGAAAACCAAGCAACCCACCACTATGAAGAGATGCGGCTTCCCAAAAAAAAAAACTGATTGGGGTAAGGAATTCAGAGCCCAATAAAGAGTGGGCGTGGCACTGCCAGCGGCATTTCATCAAAACCCCCACACACATATCCACAAGTATTGAAGGCTTTCAAGGCAGAGGAGGAGGAGCAGCAAGGATGCAGGCTCTCCTTACTTTTTAATTGGCAAAATTAATGCAATGCAATGAAATGAAGCCAGTCGTGCTGATACGCTCTGGGATACTATATGCTATCCAAATATCCATATCCATATCCATATTCATATTCAGAGACAGTGACTGAAACTCGGAGGAGGTGGGGGGGAGTGGAAGTGGGAACCCCGGGGCACGGATTGGGGATGTTTCTTTTTCTTCCAAAAAGGGGGACGGATGGGCTGACATGCCAACGGCACTTTTCTGTATTTGTATTTTGTATTTGTTTTTGTTTTTGTATTTGTGTGTTTGTGTTATTGTTTTTGTAATTCTTAGAAATTCAATTTTCAACTTAAAAGCCCCACCACACTCGCCGTCCCGCTCCCGACAAGTGATTAAGTGAAAAGCAACAACAAGAACCACATTATGCAAAAAAACAAGCCAACTGCAAAAAAGACCGGTCCTCTGGAAGACCGACTAATAGAATGCTCTTTAAAATAACTATTTTTGATAGGAAACTCTATAGAGGATCTTGTGGATATTGGTTGGGAATCCTTCGAAGTTTGATATCCTTTTTCTTCCAACTCTTTCCAGGTAGTCATCATACCCCTTGTGAGGGCAAAAAGCAGGCGAACAGACTGAAATGTTGTTGGCGGCGTCGCGGTTTTGATCCACTCGCATAATGAAGATCATGACGATCTGGGACGACGCTTTGGCATTGGCATTGCCCCTCCAACCAACCAACCATCCGTCCATCCGTCCGTCTGGCAGTCAGTCTCTCAGTCAGTCATTCAGTCAGTCATTCAAGCAAGTCAGTCACACATATTGAAATAATTATTATCTGCATTTCGAGATCGGCACAGCGACTCCAGAGCATCGACAACAGAGTCGAAGTTTTGGTATTTGGCCCCACAACGGAGTCACAGTCGCAGTCGCAGTCACAGTCACAGTTGGAGCAAATTGAAGGCCATAAAAAATCAACGCATATTGCAGACTGTCACTCCAAAAATATTGTAGGGCCTATGGGCATGGCTCATTAGCAGGGCATGGCCCTACCCCCCCAAAAAAAAGAAAGAAAGGAAGATTCCCCGCAAGGAAGTGATAATCCTTTGACAAAGCCAGAGACCTGGTGAAGATTTCGCACGCGGTTCGAACAAGAAAATCTGCGAAAAAATAAAAAAAAAATTATACAGAGAGCGACAACCCCTTCTGGGCCCGCTTGGCGAATTCCCCAAAGAACCCCAGACCGCGCCGAATGACAACAATCAGCCACCGACCGACTCCTCCGCCCCGTGGCATCCTTGTAATGCGACGTGTTTGCCTCAATTCGAGCATATGAAAACGGTTTATTTTGCTCGATTAAGTTGCCTTTTGAAATGCGATTCAAGGCGGCACTCACAAAAAAAAAAATAACCCAAAAGCAGGCAGGTTATCCCAGGAAGCTGGAAAAGCGCGACAGGAAGCAATAAAAATCAGGCAATCAGGCCGAAGGAAGTGGCAAAACGGATAGGATATTGAAAACCAATTTTTTCCCCAGCCCAGCCAGCCAGGAAGTTCAATGACAATGAAGGCTGAATCGGATGAATGAAAAATGGAAAAATGGCAATCCGGTGGGCTTAAATTGGCCAGGTTTTCCTCTCAACATCTATATTAGAGACCTTCTACCACCGACCTTGACAGAGTCGGCCATTGTCTATAGAGATTAGATAACCATCCAAATAGATCTCGCTGTCTTTCTCCTTTCGAGGCAATAAAGTCCTAGGGCAGTTACTAGCGTTACGGCCATAAAACTTTCACCGATAGCCCCGATAAACATCAATGGGGTGCCCCCGTAGCGGCCACCTCTCAATGGGCGAGGTAACAGGTAGCTGGTGTATGGCTTTACGATCGCCATAAAAATCCAAAAAAAGGTTGCCGAAAAGGTTTCAATTGCACTACTGAGTACCATCGATCGAGGGAGAGGGTTAGCCGGCACTATCCTATCAGATCCGATCCATAGACAGTAGCATAGGCGCCGTAAACTCGAGGCACTCGGTTTCGTCATAAATTCGAAACTTTTTACGATTCTCAGATATTTTACGACTTTATTAAAAATGTCATGGTAAATATGGCAACTGGGAATGGGTTTGGTAATGTCTTTGAAAAATAATGCGTACTCCAACTTGACCTCCGGATTGGGGAAAAAGATTCTCTCTGTTCAGATTCGCAACTA